CACACACACACACACACACACACACATCGCACCCACCAGGCTTGGTCTCCCAGGTCCAGGCTCAGAGCAATGCGCACCCAAAGGTAGTACCCCAGGCACGCCACATAGGCCAACACCACCAGCGCCCCTAAAAACGAGAATCGCCGCACCAGTGGCCGCGGCGCGCCGCCGCCCGCGTCCACTCGCGCCGCCCCGCGTCGCCGTCGTCGCGGTCGAGCAGGGCGGCCGCACGGCGCAGTAGCACGGTGCCCGGGGCCTGCGGGGGACAGGTGCATACCCACTGGTCCATCAGAGCCAAGGTCATAAAATTGCATTCGAGACAACAGAGAGATATCTACTGCCTCAAAAAGGGGCAATCAAGCGTGTGTATAGATCACAGATGCAGTCACGTTTGCGCGAAGATTGTCAAAATCACAGTGCAAGTGTGCAGCTGGATGCGCACCTTGGGAGCCGCCTGCACCTCCGGACCCGCCCCAGCGCCGCCGCCCAGCGGCGACGGCCTGGGAGGGCGCCAACCACTCAGCACAGACGCGGGCGCCCCTCCCAACGCTGCGGCGTCGCCGCCCGCCTTCTCCTGGCGGCCCTCCGCCCACGCGCTCCTGCCCGGCTGCGCCGCGGCAGCAGCGCTCGCCGCAGCCCGTTCAGGATGCGCACTGGGGTCGAGCCCCGCTCTCCGCAGCAGTTCCTGGAGCGGTGCGTGGGCAAAACCTCTGATTGAGACTCGTGTGTGGCAAACAAACGATGCGCACACACCTGCAGACTGGCGTGAAGCCAGTCGTCGCCGATTCCTGCCCCGGACCACCCAGAGGAATGCAAGCCCAGCGCTGACCATCGCCCTGCCGCCGTCCTCATTCACAGCCGCGCGGCCCGCGAGCAAAGCGGACTCACACCCGTGTTCCCCCGCACCTGCGCGGCCGCCAGCTGTGCGTCGAGGCCTTCAAGCTCGTCCTCTGTCAGCGCCCCCGGCTCCACCTCCTCGCCGCCAAACAGCGACGCGCGTATCGTGCCCACGAACCCAAACGTGTCGTGGTGGTGGTCGTTGTGGCGGCAGCCGCCGCCGGCAAAGCCAGGCGCGGCGTCAGGGGCGAACACGACCACGGGCGTGACGGCGCGCAGCTTGTCAGGCGGGCGCGGGAAGGGACCTTGCGCGGGCGCGGTCGCGCCAGCAGTCCCCTGCCCAAGGACTGCCGGCTGGGTGGCGGTCAACGGCTGGTTCAGAAGCATCTGCGCCGCCGCGCCGTCGGCGCTCGAGTTGGCGCTGTCCGGGTTGTCGATGACCCTCTCGCTGGCTGACGCCCGTGTCCTCTGCCTGCCCGGCCAGACGCCTGCGCCGTCTTGGCTGGCGTCTGCCAGCATCGCGAGCGCACCCTTCCACCCTGCATCCTCTGCGGCTGCCGCACCCGCGCTTCCGGCCGCTCCGCCCTCGTCCCCTCTGCCGCCGCCGCCGCCGCCGCCGACGTCGCCGCCGCCGAACGAGCTCGCCCCTCTGAATGCGCCCGGCGGCAGCGACTGCAGCAGCGCCGCCGCCGCCGGGCGGCTGACCCTGTGCACGGTCAGCAAGTGGCTGCTCGCAGTATGGTCCCATTCCTCGTGCTGCGGCTGCTGCTGCTGATGCGTGCTGCTGCTGGGAAAACCGCCGGCGGTGGACGTGCCGACTATGAGCATGCGGCTGAGGGTGACCTGGCCGGAGGTCTGTTGGGTTGGGGTGTTGGAGCCGTGGCCGCCCACATACTCAGCAAACAAGCCACCCTCCTGCAGCAGGCCCTGTTGTGAGGTTCAGATAGCGAGCGCACGACAGGCGGGACCGAGAACGGGCGTACTCAGGGAAGGAGTTAGTGCTGACAAGAGGCTTGGGGACCGGGACCCGGCGTGGCAGCAAGCAGGTATCATGATTGTGTGGCTTACAGGGCCGTCTCTCCATTCAGGATCTCATTGGTTCAAGATTATGTTGGTGTTCGCATCCTGATGAGGAAGCCGCACCTGCGCAATTGCCAGGGCCCGAAGCTGTGCCTGCACCCGGGCGGTGGTCGCCGCAGGCGTCGCCTCATCGAGGGGTGCGCTGCCCCCAGGCGCGCTCGCTGGCTCCATCAGTGCTGTCCTGCTGGGCTCCGCAGCCATGTCAATTCATCTAGACTGCCCGGCAACCGGTAATCACATCATATATATGATGGATGCCGAAAGGCGAGTCTTGGTCAAGAACTCATACGTCATTTTCAGGGCGATCAGATGCGTATTAAAGGTGCCTTTACGCATGCGCACCATTCAATTTGCCGATGAATCTCGCAAATATGTATGTGGATAAGGCCAAGTTATAAAAGTGATCTGAGAGTGCTTACTAATACGTACTGCACCAGGGCTCGACTGCAAAGCGTGTGCCGGTATGTGCGAAGCTGGGGCATGATAGTCTGCGCTGCTCGTGCACTCAGGCATGAGCTGCCCGCACGGCACGAGTGGAACTTGCTAGATGGATGGGTGCTGCTGGTGCCGGACTGCTGGTTTGCCCGCGACAGCGGCGACGGCCAGCGACACACGCGGTGGCCAGGACGAGGCAGCGACGGGAACCAGACCCCATGCTGGGTCGCAAACAGCCGCGCAGGTCCCACCTCTGTCCGCTCAAAGTTATGGACGAAAAGTGTGTGCGCGACGACACTGCAAGGGGCAGCCTAAGGGCGTCACCTGAGGGTCCCTGAAAGCCCAGTGGGGGACCCACACCGGTGGGGCAGCGGGGAAACGGGCAGTTGCCCTGGCCCCCGCGCCCGTCCTTGAAACAAACTGGGTGCGCAGCGCCCGGTCTACTCTACTCTCCTCTACTCTGCCCGCGACAGCCTGACTTCTTGCAGCGGCAGCACTGCAAGCGGTTTCCAGCCCTGTGTCTCCCGATTGGATTGGCCAAAGTACCAAGGACCTGCATGCACCCATGTTGGTCCACGTCAAGCGCAGCCGCCCCTCATTTAGTAATCCACTCGTACTGCTGGCACCAGGCTCACTGGAAAACATGGGAAGGTTGCAATTCAAGAAGCACACATCGGCAACAGAGAGGCAAGCAACTCGCATTTCAAGGCACCTCAGTACCTGGGGTGCCGGCTCCTTGACTTCCAACCTGGTGCAGCTGGCGCACTCAGGCAGTTTGGCCGCCCCCACAACACACAAATCCATGACCAATTCAAAACAACGAAATGCAAATCAAATCCCACTGTCTGGAAGCTGAGGTATGCTTCAATTAGGGTAGCGACGTGCGGGCGATGACAGGCAGCGGCAACGAGGGAGCAGCAAGCAGACATTGTCAAAGCAAGACCCCAGCAGGAGAATTACTACACTCCTAGTCCTACAAGCAGATGCTAACCTTGGGGGTAGTGTACACAGATCTGCCGGCGGGCTGGGGTATGCGCCGCCGATGCTGCAACAACGATACAAAGACGGACCTGACCTGAAAATGCAAAAATCTACACCAACTCATCGGAGCGGGGCACATCCGAGCCAAGAAGCTTGGCCTTCTGCTCGCGCCTGCCCCCCGTGCCCCCAGCAGGCGGCGGGCCCGCCGCCGCCTGCGCGCCGCCGGCCGCCGGCCCCCTTGCTGAGCCCGCGTCGTCGTTGGTACGCTTGCCATCGCCGCCGGGCGCCGCCGCGGCAGGCAGCCCCATCGCGGCCGACGCCGCGGCGAGCGCCTCCGACGCGGCGGCCGACGACCCGCTGCGCAGCTCGATGCCCCCGCTTGAGAGCAGCTTGGATTTCTTGATGCCGTCGACTTGAGACGTGGATCCCGCGCCGCCCCGCGCCATGAGACCGTCCCGAGCGCCCCACCCGAGCACGACGCCTTTCATTGCCCGTGCGACGCGCCAGCGGGGCGCGGCGGCAGTGCCCCCGCCTGCACTGCCGCCTTGAGCTGCGCCACTGCCGCCGCCGCCGCCGCCGCCGTGAGGCTCCGAGTCGAGCGTGGCGTCCTGGAAGCGCCGGGAGCGTAGCCGGTATAGCGCCCCGCGCCTGAGCGCGACGGCCGCGGCCGCGGCCGCTATGAGCAGGCCGCCCCCGAGGCCGAGGGCGATGCCCACGCCGAGCGCCACCGCCCTGGAGGGCCCGCCGCCCGGTGCCTGCTGCGTCTGCTGGGCCGCCTTCAGGGCTGCCGACAGGTTGCCGCCCCCGAGGGCCCCGATTAGGCCGCTGGCCAACAGCTGGGCCGCCACATCATCTGGCAGAGACGCGTTGCGGCCGCCGGCGCCGCCGGCCGTCACGAGCGGCGAGCCGTCCGCGGGGCCGCCGTCAGCGCACTGGGCAAAGCTGCCGTCTGCAATCCTGCAGTACTGTGCAGTCGCGTTATCTGAGGTTGGCAGGGTGGTGCAGTCCCAGAAGAGGGCGCCGCCGACGGCGAATGGCAAGTTGCAAGGGGTGCCACCGAGGGTGCGCCTGCGCGCCGGGTTGCATTTGCAGCACACGGAAGCTTGTTAGGCGCGAGCGAGGATCTCGTGGCTGCTTCCCCGCATTGAAGCAGAAATGGCTCCTCGGCCTGTTGCATGATTGGGCTAAGCGTGGGAAGCGGCGCAAAGGCCTGGGGAACGATGTGATGGGCGTTGCATGGCCGCGATAGTTTCCATCACAGTCAGCTGCCCGCTGTTCCCACCGCGCCCCTTTGCACAGGCAGCCGCCTCCCTGTGCGGGAGGATGGGTGCGATGGATGTGGGACCGCCTTGTCACACCTGATGGTGCGGTTGCTTGGGGTGCCGCCTTCTCCATCCTCTGAGGGATCCTCTGGCAGCGGCTGCAGCAGCGGCGCGCAGAACCCAAACTCCCCGGCGCCCGTCAGACACACGCCGGCCCCGCCGGCTGCCGCGGCCAGCGCCAGCGGCGGCGCCGCGGCCGCGCCGCCGCCGCCGGCCGCGAAGAGCGCGGACGGCGCCGCGCCGAGCGCGGAGGCGGTGGCGGTGAGCAGGGGCGCCGGCTGGGCGCCGCCTCCTGATCCCTGGTCTGCCGGAAAAGCGGCGATCGTCAGGGTTGTGGTCGTGTTGACGGGCAGGCATCCCCAGTAGGTGGTATCTTGGAAGGTGAAGGGGCGCACACAGGGCTCTGCGTTGACGGTGTACCTGCAAGGTTTGGGTCGAACGTTGTGTTTAGTTTGTCTTGCGGTATCAAGCGGGGGGGGGGTCTGCGGAAAACAAGACCTGTTGTGCTCACTCCAGGTTCACCAGCAAGGCGGCGCAGCAAAGGGTGTTCAAAAGGAAACTGTGGTGGGTCGCTCCGGCGCGTGTGCTGCCCATCGACTAACTGCAGCTGACGGTCGGGATGTGCGTGTGAAGTTCACGCATGCAGCACGCCGGCGTTACGACGCGGGTGCGTGCGCAGCAAGGGCAGCCGCAGTGTGTGCTTGCTCACCTCTTTGCAAGCGCGCCGTCTCGCGGAAGCACCTGCCAGGTAGTCAGATGATCATCGGCGCACGGCTCCCACACCCCAGACTCTGTGCGGCAGGCATCAAGGCCCAGCAGCCACACGCAGTCGTCGCGGCTGCAAACGGCGTTAGGGTAGGCGTGGAGGTTTTGCAGAGGTTGTTTAATTCAGTTGGTTGTTAGGTGTGGTGGTGCTTGCTGGGAGGATGCAGGGGGCAGCTTGCCGACACAAGCGCGTGGGTGCCTCTGTTGATGGCAGTTGCAGGCGCACCCGACTGCGGGGTGCAAGACAGGCTTGCCACACTGATGCAGCCGCTTGTCAGCCCCGGACACAACAAAGCCACGCATGGGCCAAAAAAAGAAAAACGTGGGTGACAAGCAGTGACAAGCAGCGGCGGGCAGAGCAGCTTCCGAGGCTCCAGGCTGGCGCTGACCTGGCACCGTCGTGGAATGCAGGGAACATGCACTGCGCCCCCGTCAGTGTCTGGCGGCTCAGGGGCGCGCACTTCTGGGGCTGCCGGCCAACCTGTGCGTTGTTTGAGGCACGAGGTTTTGCATGCAGCGAGGGCGGTAAGTGGGGCCAAAGACAGGTGTTCTTCAGGCCAAGCCATCCAAGGCTGAGGGACCGGCTGCAGCTGGGTGCATACAATTTCATGCGTTTGGGCTCTGTGGCTGCCTACAGTGGCGCCACCGCGTGATTTGCGGGGGCGTGTGTGTCCGAAGGCTGTGCATGCACGCAGGCATGACAGCAATCCGATGACGGCTCACCTCGACGGTGCACTCAAAGTCTGCAGACTCAGGATCCAGGACGCACCGCTCCAGCCCGCCGTCAGCCACATACCCGCCCGCACCCGCGTCAGCCCCGGAGCCGCCGTCCGCCGCGGAGGCGCTAACAACGCCGACGGCGGCGCCCGTCCTGGGCGAGGCCGCCAGCGGCAGGCAGGGGCTCCTATCCAGGCCGTACCGCCGCGCCGCGCGGCTGGGCGGCCGCGCGACGCCGCTCATGTACGCGGACGGGCCCGACGGCGGCGAATACGACGCCGCGCCGGGGCCGGCGAGCGCGCGCGCGCGGGCGTTGCCGCCGGCGGCGTCGGGGTCAAAGGGATCCGAGCAGACCAGCGACGGCGGGCCCGCGCGGACGAGGCGCAGCAGGCTCGTGGTCGGGTCCCCATCGCCGTCTTGGAGGGAGATGCTCGCGGCGCAGCGCGCGTCGCCGCCGGGGGAGTCGCCGGGGGCCTCGACGCAGTCGCTGCGGGCGAGGCCGCCGGAGGAGAACGGGAAGTCGCACGACGAGTCAGACCCGCCGCCGCCGCCGTCACTTTCCCCGCGGCCGCCACCACTGGATCCATCAGAGGAGGATGACATCGAGGACGGCCCCTCATCGTCCGCCGGCGTCGCGAGGCGCTTGCCGCCCGCGACGGGGCAGCGGACCCACAAGAGCGGCGAGCCGTCCGCCGCGCCGCCGGCGACGGCGCTCGCGCCCGCTGCCGCCTGGCCGCCGACGCGGGCGCCGAGCAGGCAGAGCTCAACCCCATTCATCACCACGCATCGCCGATACGCCGCCGTAGCGGCGGCGGCGGCCGCGCCGCACTGAGTGAGCGCCGGCGGCACCTGCACCGCGGGCGCGCACTCCTGTATCGTCCCAGGGATGATGACGGCGGACCCGGGGACCGCCCCGCCGCCGGCGCCTGCCGCGTCGGCGCCGGCGACGGCGCTGCAGACCTCGCGGCCCCGCAGCATCAAGCAGTCGGAGTAGCAGATCTGGCCGGACAGCGTGAGCCGCTGCAGCGGCGGCTCGTCCCCCGCGCCGCCGCCGCCGGCAACTGCTGACGAGGCAAGGCCGGCGGGCACCGCGCCCTCGGCAGCCGACCAGGCGAGCCCTGAAGGGTACCCCGCCGCAGCAGACGATGCCGAGGATCCTCGGCCGCCGGCGGACGGCGAGGGGTAGCCCGAGGCTGCGCCGGAGCCATCCGAGGCCGTCGCGTCCGCAGAACCGCCCCCGCCGGCGGCGGCGCCGCCGGGTGCGGCGCACTCCGCCCAAACGCCACCGCTCTGGGGTTGCGAGGGTCGGGGCAGCGGAACGTCAGGGGGCATGCATGTCTCATAGCGAGGCGGCTGCTGCGTGTGTTGGGAGTGAGGAGGGCTGGATAGGCTGGACTGACTCCTGTGGAGCCAACGATCTCTTCTGAAAGCCTGCACAGTAGGGGCTAGAGGCCGCTGAGGCGTTGGTGGGTCGGATGAACCGCAGGCAGCCTACAAACACGCGCGCCTGCGCACACCAAGCTGGAGCAAAACCCAACGCACCCGCGCCGTCGGGCAGCTGGGCGGGCCACCCAGGGAGATGCAGTCGTAGGTGATGGCCCCAGCGTATGAGACGGGCAGCAGGCAGGGCAGCCCCGTGACTGTGCGGATCTGCAGCTTCAAGGCTGCAGGGTGAGGAGGAGGGGATGACGGCGGACGCCGCCATGTCCGGATCTGGAATTGGCTTGATTTGCGGGGTGGCGGTCATGTGTGGTCAATGCATTTACCGGCTGGGGGCCCTTCTTGATCTCACACTTTTAGAACAAGGCAGCGAGCTCTGCAAAGCAAACGGGCGCGAAGGGTGCAATTGTCCCGCGGACATGCCCGGTGCGGTTGGTGCAAAACTAGCGCGTCCGCTGGGCCGCAGCGCGGAACGGGCCGGGCGAGCGCGCCTGCGATGCCGGCGGGGTACATCACCGCCTGCCGCATGTAGTCCGCGTACAGCGCCGCCACCTGGTTTCCGGTTAGGGGCTGCAGCGGGAGGTTGCGGAGGAAGGGCAAGCAGTCTGAGTGCGCGCGCACAGGGGGTTGTGCAGTGGGGTGGAGAGGAGGGCCTGAGAGGAGCGGGGCAGTAGGCAGCAATCACTGGTGCATGTGGCAGGTCCCAGCAAGGCGGTTTGATTGGCAAGTGCCCAAACTGCGGGAAGATGCAATGCTGGGCACAAGCGTGTGCACCACCGCGCTGCCTCCGCCCAAGGCAAGCCGCCTCTCTGCTTCAAGCCGTGGAAACAGCCTGCCGCATCGGCCGACCCCAATACAACACGTGATGAGCATGTGACGTCAGTCGAGTCACCTCATCGAATAGTGCCAGGTTTGAGATCAGCCCCGAGTAGAACCGCTGAGGGTCGCGGTCGGAGCGCCCGCACAGCACGAGGTGGCCGCTTGACAGGTCCATCGGATCCCCCCCAGTCACAGGCACCGGCCGCGGCCTGCCTGGGCGGCGAGGCGTGTCCCCCGGGCCGCCGGCCGCGGAGACGGTGCTGTTGTCGTTTGCGATGGCGGTGCCGTTGTCGCCCTGCTCGCCGGCCCCGCCCTGCTGTGTGAGCCGCCGCCCACCGCCGTTGCGGCCGCCGGCGCCGCGGCCTCCGGCGCCAGCGCCGCCGCTGCGGCCGCCGCTGCTGCCGTTGGCGTCGGCACCGGCGCCGTCGGCAGAGGGGGAGTCTGCGCCGCCGGCCTGGGCGTCGCTGCCTGCAGCGGCGCCGCCGTCGCTGCCGTTGGTGGTGCCGTCGTCGTCGCCGCTGGCGCTGCCGCTGAGCTCCGCGCGCAGGCGGCCATCCACGAACAGCCTGAAGCCGCGCTGCGGCCGCCGGCCCGAGAGCGCGGCAGGTATCGTGCTAAGAGTCAGCATGTGCCTGTCGAGTTGTGGGGCAAAGCGGCGCAATTGGCGTTAATTGCAGAGTAGCACGGCCAGGTTAAGCGGCGGGAGACTGGATATACACGTTGCAATATCTCTTTTACCAGCACCCCTGGAATTATCAGAGGATCCCGTTTGTCTGTATTAGAGCCCACTCGGCTGCATGTCAAGAAAAGCATGCCTGATGGTTGTGGACCAGCATTTGACCAGCCCTGTGCAGCTTCGGTACCCTTATCAATGCCCTGCCTGTCGCCTCACCATTCCCCATCATATAGGTCCAGCGCTCCTGGCACAGTCCCCCGCGGCCCGCCAGGCATTGTCTCGCTCGCGCTTGCACCCGTCGGCTCGTCGCTAACAGACAGCCCAACCCGCCCGTCGCTGTCGACCCACGCGCCATCATCTGCGCCGCCGCCGTCGCCCGCGTCGTTCCCGTCCCGCAGCACGCCGCGCGCGACGCCGAACCGCGTGTGGCCGGGGCGGGGCAGCATGAGGGCAAGGCTGTTCGCCGTCGGCGCGCCGCCGGCGCCGCCGGCGGGCGCATGGGAGAGCACATATGCGAGGGTCGCGGCCGCGGCGGCGGCCCCGTCGCGCGTCATGGCCACGAGCAGCTGGGAGGACGGCTTGATCCAGACGTTGATGGCGAAGGATCCGTCCTTGGCGTAGTCAATGGCGGGCTTTATCGCGACGAAGCTCTGGAGGGAGGCGTTGCAGCTGAGGGCGGAGCCGAAGCGGCCGTCGGGGACCGCGGACGCGCGGTGGGTGGCAACACCAGAGAAGGGCAGTGGGTACTCTGCGACGGCTCCCTAGGTGATGTCATCGGAGCAGCAGCGGGGGAAGATCGCGCGTTTTACATAGTTGCTCTCTGCTGCTAAGATTCAAAGCACCGAGGGTGGAGGCACTGCAGCGAGGGCCGCACGGGCTGGCTAAACGTGAGAGGGGACGTGTTTGATGCACACGCTGCATGGAGACTCTTAACCCTGCCGCCGCCGTTCGCTGAAAGCTTGAGACCCTGGTGGCTGTAGGCCGACGCAGCTGTGACGATGAGAATCACATGCAACCAGGCCAGGCAGAACGCAGGCTGCCGCGCACCTCGGAAAGCGGGAAGTAGGCGACCGGCACTGGCCACTGCTGCGGCAGGCGCGAGGGCATCCACAGCCCCGGCACGGGCGCCACGCACACGCCGATTCGCTCCTGCGTCTGGTCTGCGTCCGCTGCCGGTCCCGAGACGTCGGGGGCCAGGTAGGTGGTGGGGTAGCAGACCTGGTTGTGTGGGTGTGAATGCAAGCAAAGGGCAGGGGGCATTTTGAGTGGGAGGGGCAGGGCAGGTCAAAATGCCATTGCCACCAGTGGTGCCTCAGGGTACAGAAAGCGGAGCCTGGGGGCATGGGAGGCCATAGGAATGGGTGTTGAGCAGGAACTAGTAGCCTGCGATTGGCAAGCAGAGTCACCAAGTCGCTGGGCCGTTGTCCGGCCGCGGCCCACCAGCCCAGGTGCGCAGTACGCAGGGTAGGGGTCTGTCATGGGGTTGACCGAGCACCACTGGCCGCTGCCCTGGCCGGTGATGAGCTTCCAGTTTTCGGGGGCTGACTCGTCCGCCTCTGGGGCAGGATTGTTGTCAGTCGACGAGGAAGGGTCTGGGTCGCTATCGGGGCCGCTGCCGCTGCTGCCGCCGCCGCCGCCGTCGTCGCCGGAGGTGAGCGGCGGCGCGCGGCGCGTCGGCGCCGCCGGCGCTGCCCCTCGAAAGGACGGGGGGGAGCGCTGCGACGCCGTGCTGATGTCACCGGAGAAGGGCGGCAGCGAGTCGGCCGCGCGGGTTGCGGCCGGCGGCTGCGAGGCGGCTGCCGCCCAAGCGGGGGAGTCGGGGGCGGGCGACGAATCCTCGGACCCGTTGTCGCTGCCGGCGGCGGAGGGGCGGGCGTCTGACGAGGGATCAGAAGGGCCGAGTGTCTTATCCGACAAAGAGTCGTCGGTGCTTGAGGAGTCGGCGCCGCGCGAGGCAGGGGAAAAGGAGGACACAGGAGAGGGGCTTGGAGAGGATGGCTGGCGGAGAGACGAGGTGGGATCTGAAGCGGATGACGCGCTTGTTGGCGCGCCACGTGCGCCGGACGAGGTCGGGTCATCGTAGTATGAGGCGTCGCTTGAGCCGTCGTCGGCAGACGAGGGGTCGTCCGTCACCGCCCGCGGCCAGGTGGACTGCAGCAACGTGCGGCTGCGGCGGGGCGCCCCAGGGCCCGGTGCGGCGCCCGCAGGGGTCGCGCCGGCGGCCGCTGCGGGGGACGCGGCGATGTTGACGGTCCATGCTGCGATTAAAAAGACCAGCAGGGCCGCTGATGGGCGCATGAATACGCCTGAGATCGTCGCATGGCTGCGTGCTCGACCTCGTACTTCTTGTCACGCCCAAGCACCGCGCACAAGACCCTGCAAACCTAACAGACGTAGATTGGGTGAATCCCGGGCTTCAGCGTGGGTGAACCTTGGACAGCACAGTCCTGCCTTTCGGCGACCCCAACTGACGAGGATGGTCGGTTGGTGCGAGGAAAGAAGTACCCACGCAGTGACACACTGCGCCAAATAAACTTTAGAAGTCGAGGCGTTGGACAGCGTATAGGTGCAAGCAAGGCTGTTGCCCGGAAGTTGTCAATTTCCTTGGCGACCGCCTCCTTGGCGGCGCTGGTGCCGCCCGCTCGCGGGGGGCGCCGCGGTCGCCACCACCAGCAGCAAGCTCTCAGTCCCAGAACGCTGAGCTTATGTAGCTGCGCAATCCATAAGACATCTTGGCTGCCGTGCGTGGGGCACCGTAGGGCAAGCTTGCTGTTTGCCAAGCTCATTTCCGGCTCACATCTCTGAAGCGACGCTAGCACCGTGCTGGCTTCCGTGACGGAAGCCCAGTCTGGACGCCTGGGAACACAGCAAAGCTCTGTTCCAGGCGCCCAGGATGCTGCCGGCACCACCAACGCCAGTGGTGTTCACGAGGATTGCCCCTCTCACACCTGGTCATTTCAACCTGCTCCAAACGGCGCGCCATCCCCACGTTTGCAGCCATCCACAGGCCTGACGCGTGTCCGCTGGCGTGTGTGCCTACAGCTGGTGTATTGTCCGCCTTCGAACCGCTGCGCGCTGCGCCTGCTGGCAGCTGAGCCTCCTACCCTCACCTGTTTTGGCGGTAGATTGCCCCGGCCCATTCTGCGGTCGTTACCAGCTCAGTCATTCGAAGCTTCAACACAACTTCGGTTCGTAGCGGCACCCAACAGGAGTGATTGTGCACAAAGCAGGCGGGCACTGGAAAAGCGAACCCCCACTTGTGAGGTCTCAATAGAGCAACAAGCACCAACGTAATGTTTTCGGCCCAGGTGGTTGGCTCGCTTCCGTAACCGCCGTGGGCGCGGGGCTGACCGGTGCGTTGAAGGCGGGCGGCGAAATTGTTGTTCAGAGGAAGGGAGCAATTGGGACTGTTCTGAGTGGGAAGGGGCACCGCTGGTGCACGCGGATGCGCTGCCGTCGCAGTAAGTGCCGTTGACGATCAAAATGCGTGCGCGCTCGTGCGCAAGCACGGGCGCAAAGTCAGGGGGAAACAGCGGTAGAGAGGAAAGCATGCATATGGCTGTGGCGAGGGTGTATGGTATGTAGGAGGTATACATGAAGCAGCAAACAAAGGAAAAATCAACCGACTGAGGCATTCATAGACATCTTGGGCTGTTGAGAGGCGAGGGTCGTGCCTGCAATCAAAGCAATAATAGGCACTGATGACGCAGCGTTGGCGAGCAGGTTTGGCGCAGCAGCCATGGACGCGCACAGCGCGCGTACCGTCGATAAAAATGCGACATCTCACACGCACACACGGCGAGGCTGCAGCCGGCCCCACCTGACATCAAACCATTGCAACGCCGGCAACACACCACGAGACCGCCCGGCGCAACGCAGTGACCGCCCTTGCAAGGGCGCGGATCCTGGCGCCACCTGAGAGCCTGCCGTAAATGTCCTGCCACGAGCATCATAGCCGTGACAGCGGCCGCGATGGACCCCAGCCGGCCTGTGCCGTGCAAGCTGGGCCCAACCTGCGGCCTCGCCGCCGATTTGCTGCCGCCTGCCCAACCACAGGCCCCGCCCGCCATTCAAACGGGCTCCCGGCCTCGCGGCTGCGGCGCTCGCAGCTAGACGCGCCCGGCCACGTCCAGAACGCCGCCCCTGGGCCGGCCGTTCTGCGCGCTGAGCGCGCCGCCGAGGGCGCTGTCGCCGCTGCCAGCTGCGGCGCTGCTCCGAGGCTCGCTCCTGGCGCCGCTCCCTGATTCAGAGGGGCGCGTGCCGCGCCCGCCCCCGCCGGCGCCGCCGATGCCGCTGCCGGCGCCGGCGTCTGAAAACCGGACGCTTCCGTGGCCACTCCCCCGAGGCCGCTCCCGGCCGGCGCCGCCGGCCACCTCAATTCTCGCGCCGGCCCCACCGGCGGGGAGGTCGCTGATGTCGCCTTGCAAGGTGCTGGCGTGCCCCTCCGATCCTAGCGGGTCCCAACCAACGCCGGCCCAGAGCCGAGCAGCGTCGCTGTCCGATCCGCTAGCAAGCTCGTCGCCGCGGCCGCGGTCGCCGCCCCCCGATGCCCCAGTCGCCGCCGCCGCCGCCGCAGGCCCTTGCCACGCGCCTGCAGCGCCCGCGCCGAACCCGTCCCCGCCGCCGCCGCCGCCGACGGGCCCGCCGTGGCGCCGCAACAGCGCCGCCGCCGCCGCCTCGAACTCTGCAAACTCCTCGGCTGACAAGTCATGATCAAAGCCCAATGACCCCGCCGGCCACACGCTGCCGCCGTTGCCGGCGGCGGCGGCAAAGTCCAGGTTTGCGATGACGAAGGCGCGGTCGCCGGGGCGCAGGGGGGTGTCCTGGGGTCCACGGGGTTGGATGGGCGAGCGAGAGGCGGTCGGGTCTTGGGGTGCGATGAGGTGTGCAGGCGTGCTAGATCGGAGGTGTGCCGGAACAACAGGAAGCGGGAGGGCTGGAGAAGAGGTAGCCAGGGCAGGCGGCACGCCGCCGCAGCGCTAGCTGCCAGCCACCTCTGTCGTCGCTCTTTGCGGTAACATTGACCTGACGGCTTGCCACTGCTGATCGCGTCGCACTTTTCACGGGACACACACACACACACACACACACACACACACACACACACACACACACACGCGCGCGCGCGCGCGCGATGCATGCACCCAGGAGACGATGGGAACGCAAGCGAGCGCAAAGGAAACTTCGCCGTCACATCGCACCCACCGGGCACGGGTGCGTCGTGACGCAGTCAAACTGAACGCCCTGCTGCCGCACTGGGCGGTACAGCCCCAGTGCCAGCATGCTCTGGTGGTGCAGCAGGTCGTGCCAATAGGCCCCATAGCTCCACCCCTCTGTCCAAGGCGCCTCGATGTGGACCAACACCACGGTCGGCGCGTGCAGCACCTCTGCCTGCTGCTGTGCCCCACGCTTTTCGCGCGCCGCACCCTTCGGGGGCGCGCCGCCGCGCGGCTCGCGGGGCGCGGCGGGCGGCGGCCTTGGCGGCGGTGGCGGCAGCGGCGACTGGTCTTTCTCCTGCCGTCCGTCGCGCGGCAGGGGCGCCGGCGGCTCGTCGCCGCCATCGGTGGCGGAGCGCGGCGACTCAGGATCCGAGTCCTGCCCCCGTGCCGCGCCGCCGCCGCTGCCGCGGACGAGCAGGGAAGTCGCGCGCCACCCAGCGGCGCGGCCCATGCTGCGGGAGAGCAGGCGGGGGTCGCCGCTGTGCCACTGGTGCATGAGTTTCAGCACAATCTTGTGGGCGCCGTGGTTGGTGTATGCCTGGCGAATAATGAGGGGTGGGCGGGCGCCACAAGTCAAACACGCAAAAAACGAAAGTTCTGACACAATGTTGCAGAGGTTGGGGGCTGAGCCATGCTTACGCCAGTACACGCAAACAGCACTCAGGACGGCGTTCATGGGTGCCGGCGGTGCGACGACGCGCGCGCTGTGGGCGGAGCCTATGTGTGGAAGCTGCTCGGAAGCTGCGCGAGGTGGTCGCGGCCTTACCTGGATGGCGAGGCTGTCCAAGCAGTAGGCCACGAAGACAGACCCGGCCATATAGGCCGGGGACAGCCCGACCTGCGCATGAGAGGCGAAAGGATGCAATGCATGAAGGTGTGTGCACACAAGCACGTGCGAGTGCAACCACCTGGCCCGACAAGGGGTGGGGGGTACCCCGGCCTGGCCGGCGGGCCCGGACCTTCGCGGCCCACACATCAAGACTGTGCGCGCATGATACAGATGGCATCGCCGTGCTGGGGAGCCAGCTACTTTGAAGCGCAGGGGCGGGGCGTGTTTCGCCCCCTCGCTTGGTGAGCGTGCGGGTGGTGTTGATGCAGGTGGCTCTACTTAATCCGCACCTGCATGAGCCGCACCCCTGGAATGGGCGTGGCCGGGTAGAGGTAAGCCATGTCTGCCGCCATGACCATCTCTGTATGAAGCTAGGGGGGTCGGGCAAGGGGGTTGGGAGGATGTCAGTTGCAGAGGGGTTGCAGTGGGGTTGGGGTGGGGTTGATGTGGGTGATGCGTCGAGGCAGTTCGACATGTTGGACGGCTGCCTGGCTGAATACTGTTCAGGTTTGGCATTCAGTGTGAAAGGGCGCGGTGAGGCGGCGCGGGGTGCGTCGCCGGCGTGCCGTGCGCTCCTGCTGGACGCCCGGGGGCTGCGCCCGAGCTGGCTTTGCTGGTGCACAATGGGGCCGATGCAGGGCCAGCCAACGGCAGGTCCCGCCTGCTCAAGTCAACCGTTTGGTACCGGCCGCTGGCAGTGCATCGCAGCCAAAAAGGCCCCGTCCAGACGGCCCCCAACACCGACCGAGCCGCAGCCGCCGGCGGCAACGCGCATGAGGGCGCTCGCGACATGTGCGCGCGGGGGCAAGGGGGCAGGGGTGAGTAGCCTGCGGCCGATCGGGGCCGAGCGATGCGTGGAGGGCGGCGGCGGTGGCGCACCTCTATGTGCGGGTTGATGGTCTTGAGCTGCTGCCAGGTCTCAATGGTTTCTCCGTCTGTGAAGGGGGGGCAGCAACATGGGTGTGACGTCACGCGATGTCACACTGCGCCATACGCCATCATACGTGACTGGAGCAACAGCGCAAGGATGGGCCCCGTACAACCTGAGGGTATGGCCTGTTTTGCTTTGTACCAGGGCGTTCACTTTTGCCGCACGGTAGACGTGTGGTCTCCTGTCTTCCCTGAATTAGCCGCTGCACGCACGCAACCCCCCCCCCCTTGCTGGGTTCGCAGGAGCTTGCAGTATACCGCAACGCGTCCATCTTCCGCAGCCCGCATCACCGCTGCGGCCAACCCACCAGACATCGCTGCGGCCTCCAGAGCAGCATCCTCATCCTGCACCAGATCAAACTTGGGCAAAAGGATGCCGCGCGCCGCGCGCTCGGCGTTGGCCCGCAGGAGGTCCGCGGCGCTGTGGGCGCTGCCCTGGGGGGCGGGGAGGGGGAGGAGTGCGCGCAAGCAATTTGCGTGTGCGTCGCCTGTGGGATGGGAAGGGGCGTTTAGGGGCTCCCAGGTGGCCCTACGCAGCTCCCTGCCTGCATGGCATGCCTGCATTGGACTGTCAGGGTTCAGCAGAATAATCTTCACCTGGGAAATACTGCATGTGTATGTTGGCTGTCAGGTCAGCACCCTCCCAGGTGCTTATCTGACAACCAACCAACACACGCAAGGCCCCCAACAAAGGAAGTTTGATTTAGGACAGCCTGCTGCGCCAACAATTTGCTTTGACCAGTATAAATTACAGTAGTCACAAACACACTTGCCTGGCAGAACCAGACGTCCTTGAGCCGTGAGATGTCGTCCCAACCGGTGCCAGGCTCAGGCAGGGTGGTGTCTAGGATGACGATCGGCCGCCACCGTGCCAGGCGCTTGCTGCGGTCGCGGGAGGATGGTTGGCGTGTTTGGATGTGTGTTGAGTGTGTGCCTGAATGTGTGTTTGTGTGTGTGCGTGTGCATGCACATGCATGCGTGCACGCGCGCGCGTGTGTGTATGTGTGTGTGAGAGCGTGGTGGAGGATGCTGCGTGCGAGGTAAGCCAAGCAGAACATGATTTTCTGTTTCATCAAGAGTGATGAATATGATGCAAAAATGCCAGAGCTTGGTGGCAGCAGGCCGCAGAAGGTGCGCAAGGAGGCGGGGCCGCGCGCGGGGCGCACCTCCTCAGGGGCGCGAGCATGGAGAAGAGGCCCTCAACGGAGGAGACGGGCCCAAACACGAGGATGTGGCCGTCAAAGGGGACGGGGCCTGCGATGACGATGCCGCTGGCGCCCTGCATGAGAGTGTTGTTTGAAGGGAGTGGCGCAGGGGCTGGGGAAGCTGCTGGCTCGAGCGGCGAGGGCGAGGGCGCAAACCGGGCGGAGCGGTGCGCGTTGCGGATCGTTGCGCTTCCGCTCGTCGACGGTTCGCCGCGCCGGCGAGACGCCCTGAATTGAAAGCTGATCACGAGGCAGCTGTCTGTTTTCCTGATGCCGCCGGGCCCGCCGCGCGAGTTCGGAGAGCCCCTATAACAATGGCAGCTGCCGGAGAGCCACGACCCGATAAGACCCACCAGTGCGTCCTCTGGGCCCCGGCAGTGGTAGCGCTTGTCTATGAAAGCCTCAGCCAGGTCGCGCCCCTGCCTGCTGGCAGACCGCAGAAGATGAGCGGGCAGCGCATAGCTGAGCGGCTCGCCGACGCCCGTCACCAACGGGCTCCGCAGGGCGGCGCAGCTCTCGCCCGCGAACGCGGCCGCGGCGGCCGGCGCGGCCGGGCCGAGGGCGGGTGGCGGGGACGGGCGGCAGGCAGGGATGGGCTCCAGTTGGATTGACAGCGCCGCGCGCGCGGCCGGCGCG